TATATTTATAAAAACAAAATCATACATTAAAACAGAGATGTACAAATCCCAGGAGCTCTGTGTGCTGCTTACAAATGGCAGCTGCCTCCTAACTTTTGGATTTTTCTCTAGTCTAGTCTTGGAGCTCGAAAAGTATCTGTACTTGTACCGAGTATGGTACTTGGTATCGGTGCATCCCTAGTCTGTGAACACAGCTACCTGTCTCTTCTTCTCCATAGTAGGATGCAAAAGAGGAGCTGGTTTGTGGCGTTAGGTAATAGGAATAGATTTTAAGTCAGAAGAAATACCGGTTTGTCAACTTTTTACGCTGCTGACTATAGCCATGTAGATTTGAGGCCTTGGGACAATATTGATTCATGCAGACAAGAGATACAGTATACGGCCAAAACTATGTGGACACTGACCGAAATTATTGAGTATCTTTCAGTCACAATCATAAAATCAACTTCATAGCCATGCAAAATCCATTGGCAAACATTGGCCACATATTTGGAATGAATTGGATTCCAATTGTGAGCCGGGTCTTGTCATCAAACATCAGCACTTGACCTTACAAATGCTCTTTTGGTTGACGGTGAACCAATTCCCACAGACACACTTTAGAGTTTTGTAGAAAGCCTTCCCAGAAGAGGGCACCTGTTATAGTCACAAAGAAGTGGCCTCCTCGAAATGAGCCAACAAACTTAAATAGTTGTGACAGTCAGGTGTCCACAAATGTATGACCATATACAGTAGTGTGTCTCCATGGATATTTTAAAGGAGAACTATGGGGTCAGTGTTTTTCCATGTAGTTCTCCTTAGGGTAACGGGAGGACACAAACTAGCGCCCTCCCGTTACCCTAAGCACAGTATACCGCGAGCTACAGCTCGCGGTATACTGAGACGCCGCAGTCGGAGCGGATCCCGACGTAGATGACGGGATCCGCCCAGCTGCGTGAGTGATAGCTGGCTCTGCCTATCTAGAGGCAGAGCCAGCTGTACCCGCCCCCTCCCCGTCCGTTCCGCCAGTCAGCGCTGGCAGATCGGAGCGGGGAGAGGGGAATCCAGCCCCTCCCCCTGTCACGACAGAGAGCCGTGACAGGATCGAGAGGCGAGCAAACCCGGTATGTGTTCGCTCACCTCCCGATCTACTGAGCCGACCTGTGACAGTCTCATTGTCACAGGTCGGCTAGAACTATGAGGTGAGTGAAAAGCACTCACCTCATAGTTCTCCTTTATGGAGGATCAAACAAAACACCTGTTTTTCTAAACGATTCACTTATCACTTGTTGCAGTACACTGTATTCTGGAAATCTTTCACAATCTTCTAGAGGTAAGTTCAGTTGACTTGCATGCCTCAGAATGACTGTGCTTTACAATGTAATACCAGTCACTAAGCTATGAGGCCCTGTTCACACCTGGGCGGGCGTACAATTTTTAATAAGGCGGTTTTGGGAGTTTTGAATTGTGTTTCAGAGCTGAAACACAATTAAAAACTCCCAAAACCATGCTCATCAGCACGTTTCCATTGAAGGCTGTATGGAAACCATGGAAAAATAAAGCTCAGGGAGCAATTCACACGGATCCGCACGGTCCCCATAGCAATGTATGGGATCGTTCATGCCGCCGAATCCCCGCGGCCGCACCGCCCCGGTGTGAACAGGGCTTAATATGGTACCAATTGTATGGTATTTGGCAGGGCTGGACCTTTTTGAGCTCATCATGTCAACCTCTGGGCCACAGCTCACTGTCCACTGAAAACAGATCCCCCCCAACACATCTTTCCATTCTTCCAGAATCCACGCTACTTACTCAGCTAGACCCAGGATGGTTTCCGTCTTGTACTGGCTGTCGGTTGAGAACCTGTGCACATCTACTCCTTTTCCAAGACCCTGCAGGGTATGTGCCTGGGTGAAGTCCACCAACCTCTCATTATAGTAGTGCAGCTGTTCAATCAGGGGCACCAGCTCTATTGGCCAGTTGGAGCTGGCGTAATCGGACACATATTTGGTAACCATCTTGATGAGCATGTTTGGGTCGGCCTGAAGAGAGATAATACATTTTGGTTAGGGCCGAGAACAACATTTTGTAGGAGGATTCGAGAACAAATATCTACTTGTTAGAGGCAAGCAGAACACATTGTATGGCTACAGGGTTAAACACTACAACATGCACAATTCTCAAATGTTTTATGCCCATTGTTCCTTTAAGTGATCCATTGTCTGCAATTTACTAGGCAGATACAGGCAACATTTCACATGTGCAAAGAAAGAAAGCCTTCCCAATTTACTTTAATCTGTGTTACATATTAATCACTGCATTATATTCAGCAGGCTTGTCACACTATGTTTGTGTTTCTTGTGGGCACTTCAGCCTTTTCCCAGATATTTCTGTATTGTGCACAGCATTGTAAGCCAATGATTTTACTTTTTTCACCAAAATTCAGCCATTTGTTTTGAAGGAGAACTATGAGGTGAGTGCTTTTCACTCACCTCATAGTTCTAGCCGACCTGTGACAATGAGACTGTCACAGGTCGGCCTTAGTAGATCGGGAGGTGAGCGAACATATACCGGCGTTCGCTCACCTCTCGATCCTGTCACGGCTCTCTTTCGTGACAGGGGAGGGGGTTGGATTCCCCCCTCCCCGCCAGCGCTGACTGGCGGAACGGACGGGGAGGGGGCGGGTACAGCTGGCTCTGCCTCTAGATAGGTAGAGCCAGCTGTCACTCACGCAGCTGGGCGGATCTCAACATCGATGTCGGGATCCGCTCCGGTTGTGGAGTCTCAGTATACCGCGAGCTGTAGCTGGTGCAACGGGAGGACGCTAGTTTGTGTCCTCCCGTTACCCTAAGGAGAACTATGGGGAAAAACCCTGACCCCATAGTTCTCCTTTAAGCCTTGCATACAGTAGGAAAGAGTTGTCATATGTTTGCCTCTCTCTTTGCTCCAGTTGCAGAGATGTTTCCTCATTTCCTACACCTGGTCGTGACTAACAGATTATGTGGATTGGAGCAACATTCACCATATTTATTCCGAGATAATTTTTTGTACAACTCATTCTGAATTGAGAGAGCTAGTCGTTTTAATGGCACAGTAGTTAAAGCAGAACAATGGCCAAAAATGTTCTTAACCCTTGCAGTGGGGCTACCCGAGCACTGCAAAGATTAAGTGCTCGTTTTTGTCTAGATGATAAAAAAAAGTTATCTCTGCTGCAGTGGTCTAAGGATCCTTGACTAGTCACGTTCTACACATAGAGGAATTTATCAAAACTGGAGGAGTTTGCCCATGGCATCCAATCAGCTTCTCTCTTCAGTTTGTTCAGTTAAGGTTTGAAAATAAAAAGTAGATGTTGAATGGTTGCCATGCACAGCTGCTCTAGATTCTGTCTACTCCAGTTTTGATAAATTCCCTTCATTGTATAGAATGTGAAAATGCTGAGGAGGAAGGCTTTAGGGACTGGAGTAGCAGCTAGCCGGGTCAGCACTTCAGATGGGTATAACTTTTTTATGTCACCTAGGCAAAAGTGAGCACTTAACCATTCCAGTACGGGGGTAGCCCCACTGCAAGAGTTAATAACATTTGTGTCTGGAGTACTGCTTTAATACCTGTTTCTAAAACACCTTATAACAAACAACAAATGACCAGAGGGGTAGCTTATTGCACTGTAGCTTATGTTTGAATGAGAATTAGAAGCCCCGGGCGGGTAGGTTACTCCCCATGTATTATACCTCTGTATATTAAAAGGTTTATATATTGATGTTTCAATTTACGTTTTACATTTTATTCATATTACATTCCATTGAGATCAAACATCAGAAGGGCACATCTACCATTACACCAGATGTCCACAGTTCCTGCTCCACATCGGTAATCAAGACATAAAGGGAAGCTGAGCAGCATAAGTGTTCTTCGCTATGTGTAGTGCAGTAATTACCAGAGGGATGAAAGCTCTCTTACCTACAATACATTTCATACAATATTGCAACTGTAAAAATGTTCTAATTAGCCACAAACTGTCATGTAATTATGTTTTTTAGACATTTCACACAACTTTAATCTAATCTTTAGGGCTTTTGGCATTCAGCAGTAAACCCTGCTAACATGGAGGACATGGGTAGTAACAAGGTAACTTTGCCATGTTCCGCTCTTATCATGTTATTATTTGGCCTACGTAGAATCTTGAATATTATATTAGTATGTGTAAGACATATTTTTGGAGAAGGGTTAGCCCTCATTCACACGAGGAACGGCTAGCCCATACAGATCTGTGCTGCATGCACGGCCGTATCGGGCAGCTCCTAGGAAGGTCAGATGCTGCGTGTGATTACATGCAGCAGCCTGTCCTTCTCTATGGGAGTATGCGACCGTGCACCGGCCTGCACTCACCCGAACTGCACATCCGTGCAGGTGTTCATATTCGTATGCTGACAGGATGGATCCTGTCTGCGTCCAAGCAGGGACACCCGCACCGACGTGCAGTTCAGATGAGCGTAGGGCAGCATACTCCCATAGAGAAGGACAGGCTGCTGCATGTAATCACACGCAGCATCTGTCCTTCCTGGGAGCGGCCCCATACGGCCGTGCATGCAGCACGGATCTGTATGGGCCAGCCATTCCTCGTGTGAATGAGGGCTAGCAGTGACTTATGATTTAAAAGACAACACCTGACAAGAGATACCTTCTATAAACAAGCCTGTAATAAACCTCCATATTAGGATGACCACAAGATAACCAATTTTCATTCAGAATTGAAGGCCCCGTTCACACGAATGTTATCAGTTCAGTCACAGCTCGCAAATTAAAAAAAAAAACTGATGAAAACTGAATCCATGTACATCAGTTTGCACATCCGTTGTCAGTTGAGTTAACATCTGTTTTTTACATGTCCGTTTTGGGCCTTTTGTTATTATAGCATGGTACATTTCCATGGTTCTTTGCTTCTCCCCAGCAAGCATTGAGCTTCCCATGCTGCACTACGACATCAGTCCCAAAAACCGCATGTAACCTGAGCTGATGTAAACTGATCATTAGTTTACATCAGTCTTGGTTGGTCCTCAACTGAAACTGATGTTTCCTGATGTAAACTGATAGTCATCAGTTTTCATCCGCACTGCCGTAGAGATGCATTGCCCATTTTTCATCTGCAAATGGAGGGTTGGAAACCTGAACACTCATGTGAATGGGGAAGTCCTGGGTTTAGCTTCCACACCCGTTTTTCTATGGGTATCCTTCGGGTGTTTTTGGCTCTGAGACATTTGTTGGGTCTAAAATGTGGATCACAATGTGTGCAAAAACCTCAAAGATGGCTCTGGCAGTGAAAGTGTTAAAATGATGCTGAGGATGTTCTTTTTTATACAGCAAAAGAACTGCAATCTCAGAATTTCCATGTATTTTAACCTTCAAATTCTAAGCTTTCGGAAATGCACCAGTTGGATGTGAAGTGGTACGTCTGCTGTTCCGATTTTATCAATGTTATAAAATTGCCTTTAAATAATAAAAACGTACAAACAGTGTCTTGGAACACCAGGATTTTGCTGGTGAAAGTAAAGGAAAGTGGATTAAGTGGCTTGCTGCTAAATGTTTTAGACAGAATTACTGAACTAAGAAATATGGAGTTACAAAAGCTCAAAGATGCAGCTGCTGACAGACAGGCCTAGTGCGATAAAATCCGTAGGATCACAAAGAGTCGACTGCAACTAAATGACATTTCATCTGCAGCTGACTGTAAAATTAAGCTTTACGTAATCATCCATTTCAGGCTGTGAAGGGGCTCACAGCAGTTCCATCCAATTACATATATTAAAAGTTTTTTTTCTATATTTGCTTGTTAAAAACGTGATGATAGCCACACGCCATTTTATTATTCAGCATTTTTCATGTACTTATTCTAATGGGATCTATTTCTTTTTTTTCCCGAGCAGCCGCATGAAAAAAACAAGCATAAAAAATGACCACTGCTGGTAAAAAGCCTATTCAGTAACTATCCCATCCACTTTAGATTCAAATAGGGGAAATAACGAATAGAAAGATCAATTAAAAAGAAAATCATTAGTCACGCACAATTTGAAAAACCTCATCAATTGGGAACGCGCTGAGGTTAATTTCCAACCCAGCAATAGAAGTAATTTACAATTGACATCTTTGTAGTAATCTGATGCCTACACTGGGCACAAGTACTCATCCATCCATGAACAGTGTGATGTCTAGCTTGTGCAAAGTTTCCAATCTTAGTATAAATGTTTTAAAAACTATTGTATATTAACCAATCTGCATCAGCTCAGAAGATACAGAAATATTACTTGTTCAACCAATGACATTAAAGTGACACTAAGCTCAGGAGTTAAACCTTAAAATGAATTCAAGTGCCCTAACTATTAACTAAAATGTATCTTATTTGTGTATCACTCGGCTGTAGATCCTCCAATCATCTCTGAATTGGTGCCGACACTGTCCTTCCTTCTGGAGGGGGGGTACTTTTGTTCCTTATGGTCCCTGTGTGTGTTGTAAAGTAGCCGCCGCTCCAAGCTCACTCCTGCGATGGACTACAATCTCATGTTTAGTTTCCTAATCTGTATTGAGATTGTAGTCCATCACAGGAGTGAGCTTGGAGCGGTGATTACTTTATAACACACACAGGGACCATGGGGAACAAAAGCAGCCCCCCTCCAGAAGGAAGGACAGTGTCAGCACCAATTCTGAGATGATTTGAGATCTACAGCCGAGTGATACACAATTAATGCATTTTTAAGATTTAGCTCTGGGGTATAGTGTCCCTTGAGCAAATTATGAGATTAGAAAGGATAAAAATTATGATTCCAGACCTGAAACCCATTGAGAATTTTTGGGATGTGCTGGAGAAGACTTTACACAGAGGTCCGACTCTCCCATCATCACTACAAGATCTTGGTGAACAATGAATGCAACTCTGGATGGAAATAAATGTTGTGACATTGCATAAGCTTATTGAAACAATGCCGTAATCAGAGATAAAAGTGGCCCAACGAGTGAGTGACTTCTTTTTGACCAGGCAGTGTATACAATA